GGTCTGGTGGGGAAGAGGCGCCTGTGTCAGGGTCGAAAAAGCGCTTCGCTCATGCTTCTCCGCTTCGCTTGTTTGTGAGTGCCAGGGTTGCGAAATGGACGGTCAAGATGTTGAGCACAGAGAGTCTGGCGCCTAGTGGATGGAGTGGATGGCGTCTGCGCACCCTCGTGGGCCCAAGGCCTGAAAACACGCCAGGCTCGCTTGTGTAATTAACGACTGCGCTGGGAGATGTGCAATGTCCAAAGCCCAAGCTTACGATCCGCTTAATCTTTGGTCCTGCAGCAACGCGGCGCAGAACCTCAAAGAAATCAAATGTAGCATCCAGCTTGGCGGCCCGTTGCCCTGGTGCAGGAGAACGGGCCACTTCGCTTGCATCCACGGAGGCAGACGAGAATGACCAAGAAGAGATGAAAGTCTCGGCCCTGGTGCAGCAGCGAACAGCAGTAGCAATTTTTAAGCATCTTCGAGGTGCGGCCAAGTGGCAATCGCAATTTGAGCTGAGGCCCTCATTCTTAAGCTGCAAGGGGAGCTGCTGGATGCAGAGGCGTTCGGGTCATGTTCGACAGGAAAGATGGTTGACCTCTCGCCTCACCTGACCTCCAATATTCGCGATCTCATTCACAAACACAAGAACTTCGCGACTAAGGACTATGCTGTGTAGTGAGTGTAGTGGCTTAGCCGAGACCTTCTTGAGCGGCTTGAAGCGCCTGATTCGATTCAAAGTCAGTTGACATCTTCGCAGCATCAGCATGCCTCAACATCTGCAGACGCATGGCTGGCATTGAGCTACAAAAAGAGCACATGGCACTGTGTTGGCCTTCGCTGGTGACCATCCTCACGCAGGTTGACCGCGCCAAAGCCTTGTCTCAGCGTGATGAGGCCGGTGTCTAGGCGATAGCGATACTTTGGAAAAAAGGCGCAAATGGGGCTTCCAGCTCTGCTGCAGCTGCAAAGTCTCGTTCTCATTCATCGCAAGTCGCAATGCATTCATCCAATGCCCTTCGCATGGAGCACATGTTAGTGGTTTTGCAAAGTTGTTTCTGAAGATTTCCGAAACAAACTCTCAAGACACTAGCAGCGCCTTTCCCCAAAAGGCTTTCTGGCAACCAGCATGGCTGCAGTTGCCACACTCAGGAGCGTAGCATGCAAACGTGGTTCTCGCAGCATCAAGCTTTGTCGCAGGCTCAAGAAGCCCTAACCACTTTACGAGAGGACACAAATTGGTTTCATCAGCAGATCATGCTGTCGATATCTGTCGATGCTGTTTCTGTTGTTGCTGCCGGCCCATTTGGGATACATGCTATTTGTGAAACTTCAACTCTCAGTCACCTAGTGCCTTCGCGGTCTTCGCAGGAGCACGAAGCTTTGATCTTGGCCCTGCGGAGCTCAGATGCGCCAGTGTCCAAGTCACCGCGCTTGCACTGGCAGAGCTTCTGAACGTGCAGGTTGCGACAGCGTGTAGACGTAAATCGTCTGAGGTCGAATCCAGCGCCAGCAGAACTGGAGGTCAGGTTCTTTGCCAATGCACTACTTTCGCAGGAGCATGCGCGTCCGTGGTGTCTCGCGACCGACGTATCACACTTGCTGCAGGTCGCAGTTTGCTCCCAAAGGCAACCACCATGTCCTTCGAGTCCTCCAGGCTCTGGATATGCTATTGGCTCTTGCCAAATCTGCGTGCTGTTTGCTGTAACTACGTAGACTTTGCTTGGCATGCAAGGCTCTTCAGCCAAGGAGCCAGCACTAGAGGTTTGATTTCAGGAAATTCTGCTCTGCCCAGGTTATTCCGACCTCGTGGCCCTGTGACCCAGAGAGTGGTGTCATATGTGGTCCAGGTCTAGGCAGGCCAGGTAGGCCAACAAAATGGTTGACTTGCGGGCTTGCGGCTGGCATTGGCAGATATTCGCTGCAGGCGACAGCATCGACGGATCCGGCTGGGCGACTTCGGCAGGCTGTCCACTGGCTGTCCATGACTTTTTTTGCATGGCAAATGACGATGTGACGAAAATTATGCATCATGTCTCAAATCGGAGACGCGAAGCCTGATACGTCACCAATCCTTGTATGCGATCTCTGGCAGCGAGGCTCTCGTCAGCCATTTGGCCACGTCTTGACACGCGTGGGGTGCGTTTGATTTCGTGCCGGTCCATCGCTGCCCTGAGAGTCGTTTTGGCTCCCCTCTTGCATATCGATGCCCAGATCTTTCCCGTGGGCCCCCTCCTCTGGGGCATATGTGTAGATAGATAGATAGATAGATAGATTGATAGACAGATGTATATATATATATATGTATATATACATATATATATATATATAAAGATGGTAGCCCCCACGCCCAAAGATCGGATCCTGTTGAAAGCCCATGTGACGTATACAACCTTAGATCTTAGTGCAACCAAACTTGCGTCATGTATACTCTAGCCGAAGCCCTATAGTACTATAGGGTTATATAAGCAGTTAAACCTATAGGGCGAAGGTTGAATGGTTCAGGGTTTAAGTTTTAGGTATACAAACCTTTGCCCAGAGAGCTTAACAGGGTTTAAGGCTTAGGCATTCAACATATGCATGAGTTGGTATGTAATCTGCGTACTCATTCCCCTGCCCTCCGCTCCACTACGCTCCTGGGCGTATTCTCTAAAACCCTATCGGTTAAGGGTTTAGGGTTTTAAAGAGAAGCCCGAAACCCTTTCGGGTTAAGCAAAGAAGCCCAAACCTTTAACCTTTGAACCCGAAAGGGTTGTGGTTAAGGTTTAGAGTTTTATTTAACCCAATAGGGCTTAAAGCTTTCGGGTATAGGGTTTAGGCATTACCTATAGGATTAGGACTTATAGCCCTGAAGCTTTTGAGGCGTAGATCCTTAAACCTTAAATCCCGTACGGTTATGCCTGTGTTTTTGTATGGCTTGCCTCCTGTGAAAATACAACAAGAAAGTAAAATAAGTTCCCACATCACGCATGAAATTGGGTATATGTATTGTATATCAAATACAGAATGGAGAAGACAGGAATGTAAGATTTGAAGCATAATACCAGGAAGTATTCCAGTGCAACGGGTGATGCGACAAGATAGTTTACTGTAAGCCCCGGGGACGCGAGAATACTGTGAGCAAATATCTTGTCACTATTTCCTGAGACCTTCCAACAGGCTGCTAGTCATTGCTCGCAAGCATCTTGCTGTTCATTCTCAACGTTACCCACAGGTCTCCCAACATGGTCATGTTTTATTTTCACATTATCCGATTATCCGCAAGACTCACAAGCACAGAAGGTCTTATATGATACTCGTCCAAAGCAACTGGGTATCACATCTTTACTGCAAAAGGTATTGTTTATCAGGGTGTTTCAGGCAGTTGTACGCCTCGAAAGCAGAAATGATATAGCACGCTACGGGAACTGTGCCGATATCTTAAGGGTGGTTTTGAGTTGAAGGGGCTCGTAAGCCACAAGGTCTGTTTAGATACTTGACTGTTACGCTTTTGATTTTCATGGTGCTTCAGGTGGTTGGACGTCTCGTAAGAAGAGTTATGGCATTCTACGGGAACTGTGCTGTCTGTTGCAAGTCTCTCAAATGGTAGATCCCTTCGGGGGGGAAGCATACATGTGTGTGTGTAAACACCTGAACATGGTAATCAGTCATTCTCTGTCATGTGAACAGTTTCACGACGCATTTCTCTTTGATATTGCAGTCTGCAGGGGCATGGCCACCTTGTCTACTGCTCTGCCAGCTGGTAGACACAGTTGAGGATATCTGGAAAGGACGCTTGCCAGACGTAACTGCAAAGTCGCGCCGGGATCCCCTCGTGGATAGCTGGTGGACTCACCCAATGTGCGGTGATGTTTAGGAATGTCTGCAACGCACTTGGTTGTATCTATCTAGCTTCATTCGTAGCATCAGTAGCCAAAGTGGGTGTGTGTGTATACACGGGTTTGGCAGATTAGCAGATGTGTTCGTTTTGCACCATCCTCGGAAGCAGGCGTGGGCTTGAGCTTAACAGATCTCAGGAAGGAAGGCAGGATGCGGCGCAAATGATCAATGTTTACTGCCTTGTAGCGAACGCGCTCAGCACTGCAGCGAAATTCCAGGTCTCAACTCCAACTCCGGCCACCACTCATAATCATATCCCTTAAATATGCAGTCTGCTGGAAGAATTCTCTGCTTTCACGCGATCTCTCAGCCTCTTCGAGCTCACTTTGATCTGCCCGCGGTCTCCTTATCTCGCATCGTAGTTGGGCACGGCGTCTGCGTGGTGTTTAACGGCAAATTTTCTCATTCGTGCACCTACTGCCGCCAGCCAGGGGCGTTCCTTATTTTTCTGAGGAGAAGACCCCAAACGTTGCTGTTTCGGGAAATACGGCAAACAGAAGAACGTGCCAAAGCGCTGGCGCGCAGCGTAAATCATCCTGCCAAAATCGCTGGCACCGACAGCAAATCGGGCAGTTTCATCCATGGTCACTGCTTGCTAATATTCCGCCGCGTGCTTGGCCCTGATGTGTAATTCCCCTGCTGATGTGCATTTCCCCTATGAAGCGTCCACAATGGGTGGTATTTCCGCAGACTGATGTGTAACCCCGGTGCGCATATGAACTGTCCGACTGTGCTAAAGTCCTGAAAGTCCTAAAGTCTTTAGAGTTCGTCTAACAGGCTGACACATTTCTGAACCAAGCCATCAAGGATCTTGCACGCTGGGCTCCTAGCGTGGTCAGTAGCTTGAAGCCTGCCAGAAACTAGGTGGTTGCATCAGCAGTAGTATGTGATGACGAAACAATAATGAACATGTCCGCGATCTTCGGAGCTTCGTTCGATTGAGGTCTGAAGAGTCTGGATGGATGAGGCACGGCAGTAGGGCCGGCAACACTTGGTCTGCGACAGTTCTGCGACACGGCACAACGATCGCCAGAGTCTGTCTCAACCAGCATGTGCTGTGCGGCTCGAAATGGCTCGAATGTCAGTGAGCGAGACACGCCTTGGTATGACATCGGCACATTCGTGAGTGGATCGGAGCCATGGGTTTGAAGAAGGCGTCTGGATCACAAGAAGCACCTCCAGAACAGTGCCACGGCCACGTCTAGCAGACCTTTCGGTCTCCTCTGCCATGCGCATTCCCCTACTCATGTTGTCCATAGAAATGTTGAAGACCAAGGACCTCAAAGAAGGGCTCTGGATCTGCTCAACCCGGCATCGTCCAGAAGGCAGGAATCCAACAATCGTCAGCAACTGTTCTAACATGTTCTAGCTGTTCTTGAAGCAGCTCCGAGCCGTCCAGTGGCAGGATGGCTCAATCGCAGTGGAGTGGGCAAGCATTGAACTGGATGACAACGAGTTGGAGGCATGCCAGTTGTGATCAGTTGTGTAACTCCCAGCTGTGATTATCACAGTTCTGCCAGGATTTCGTGAGGAACAGATTGTCGATCATGCTGGCACAGCTTCCTGGCTCTGCGGCGGGATCTGTCGAATGCACTGTGGACCTGGCAGACAATCATCTTCGCCAAGCAGGGACTCTGGCCAAGATGCTGCAGAGCCTGCGTGAAACATCGTTGCATGTGACAGTTCTCCGGCTCTACAAGAATCGCTATGACGACTCCGTGGCCGTCCCTCTCGCTGAGCACATTCGGGCAGCTGCAACGCAAGGCCGACCATTGATGCAGCTTCATTTGAGCAACAACTCGCTAACAGAGGCTGGCATGCGGCTTCTGATTGAAGCAGCGCACCATAGCAAAGGCTACCCCCGCTCGATGGGCTGTGCAAAGCTGAAGAGCTTAGGTCAGGACTCAGGTCGCCGGGTGCTGTGGCTACGAGTCGAAAATCAGGATCCGCCGATTGCTAGACCACGAGACTTTCTGGAGAGCTGCAGTGCAGTGGGCCTGCCTGTCTGTATTCTGACGGAGGGTTCTGGCCAGAAGCCTCCTGCGGATGCCGTGGTTCAGATGCATGAATACTTTTTATCAGCACCATTTGCAAAAAGCTCTGGAAAGGGGAGCAGTGGCCGTGCGAAGGGCCTAGACCCGAACAGCAGCATGAGCATGGATGGACTGCACACCAAGTCTGGTAAAGGCAAAGGAAAGTGTGAAACACTGTTTACAACAGCATCTGGCATTTCCTACAAAGTTGTGGAGCGAGGTGATGGGGTGATGTGTATACAGGCCTGTGGGGTAGGCATGGATGATGCAGATCTGGAAGAGCTTGCACCGGAAATGGATAGGATCCTGGCACAGCTTCCCGGCTCTGCGGCGGGAACTGTCGAATGCACTGTGGACTTGGCAGGCAATCATCTTCACCAAGCAGGGACTCTGTCCAAGATGCTGCAGAGCCTGCGTGAAACATCGTTGCATGTGACAGTTCTCCGGCTCTACAAGAATCGCTATGACGACTCCGTGGCCGTCCCTCTCGCTGAGCACATTCGGGCAGCTGCAACGCAAGGCCGACCATTGATGCAGCTTCATTTGAGCAACAACTCGCTAACAGAGGCTGGCATGCGGCTTCTGATTGAAGCAGCGCACCATAGCAAAGGCTACCCCCGCTCGATGGGCTGTGCAAAGCTGAAGAGCTTAGGTCAGGACTCAGGTCGCCGGGTGCTGTGGCTACGAGTCGAAAATCAGGATCCGCCGATTGCTAGACCACGAGACTTTCTGGAGAGCTGCAGTGCAGTGGGCCTGCCTGTCTGTATTCTGACGGAGGGTTCTGGCCAGAAGCCTCCTGCGGATGCCGTGGTTCAGATGCATGAATACTTTTTATCAGCACATTTTGCAAAAAGCTCTGGAAAGGGGAGCAGTGGCCGTGCGAAGGGCCTAGACCCGAACAGCAGCATGAGCATGGATGGACTGCACACCAAGTCTGGTAAAGGCAAAGGAAAGTGTGAAACACTGTTTACAACAGCATCTGGCATTTCCTACAAAGTTGTGGAGCGAGGTGATGGGGTGATGTGTATACAGGCCTGTGGGGTAGGCATGGATGATGCAGATCTGGAAGAGCTTGCACAGGAAATGGATAGGATCCTGGCACAGTTTCCCGGCTCTGCGGCGGGAACTGTCGAATGCACTCTGGACCTGGCAGACAATCATCTTCAACACGCAGGGACTCTGTCCAAGATGCTGCAGAGCCTGCGTGAAACATCGTTGCATGTGACAGTTCTCCGGCTCTACAAGAATCGCTATGACGACTCTGCGGCCGTCCCTCTCGCTGAGCACATTCGGGCAGCTGCAACGCAAGGCCGACCATTGATGCAGCTTCATTTGAGCAACAACTCGCTAACAGAGGCTGGCATGCGGCTTCTGATTGAAGCAGCGCACCACAGCAAAGGCTACCCCCGCTCGATGGGCTGTGCAAAGCTGAAGAGCTTAGGTCAGGACTCAGGCCGCCGGGTGCTGTGGCTACGAGTCGAAAATCAGGATTCGCCGATTGCTGGACCACGAGACTTTCTGGAGAGCTGCAGTTCAGTGGGCCTGCCTGTGTGGATTCTGGGGGATGGTTCTGGCCAGAAGCCTCCTGCGGATGCCGTGGTTCAGATTCATCCATCCTTTGTCAGGACGCACGACGGAGGACGATTGAGTTGTTTGTGCGTTTTTGCTTGCTCTCTCCCTCTCTCTCTCTCTCCCCCCCTCCCTTCCAGATCTCTAGTTTCCAGATTGGCCAGATTTCCCTACGCTAGTGATGACCTGGGGCCTTGTGCTGTATTTGACAGACTTATTCCACTTATTCCTGTTTCTGACTGATGAAAGGGTCATGCGCGAAATGGGGATTTCCCCTGACTCTTAAAAGAAAACAAGTTTCCAAACGATAAGTCGCAAGCACCAGATCTCATCCCCAACGGCAATGTGCAAGCGCCACCCCCTAACATGTTCTCTAGTGGTGAAAATGTGCGCACTGCAAGGCATGAAGATGTCTGGAGCTTTTTTTTCTCGTTTCGCACACGACAAATCTCAAGAACCGTCCCCCGAAGGTTCGACACCGAAAATCAAAGTGCAAATGCTGCCCCCTAAGATGTTGAAAGAAGTTGTCTCCATTAAAGGTCAGCATTCCACTGAGCCGACCATGCACTGATTCTTCTGCATGATCGCAGGATCTGCAGGGAGCAGCGCAGGTGGAAAAGGATTCAAAGGCCCCAAAGGTGCGAGTTCAGGAAAGCACAAGACTAGCAGGGTTCGGTAGTCAGTACTTACGTCTTGCAGTGTCCTCGGTCTCAGACCATGTGCAGTTGAGAATACTTTGGCAGGTGCAGGGCCAATGACAGCCTTGGATCGATATTTGATGCACTGACGGACGATCGAGACATACTGACATAATGGGTCAGTATTGCAGATACAATGTTCCGAGCTGTGATGCTTGGAGTCGTGGACAGGTTCTGTGATACTGCAGAGGGTCTTCCTTTTGCGTGACAGCGTTGGCGGCAAGTGATTCCAAGCTCAAGTGGCAGACACGTTTCCATGCGGCGGGAAGTTGGCAACGAGCTGCGACACGAACTGGGCTAGACTTGATGCCCGAACAGCTGACCTGCACCCTCAGCTTCCAGGAGCAGAGCCCGGAATCTGTCCAAGTCGAAGTCAAAAAGGATGCTTAAATTCAGCCTCATGCTCAATTTAGCAGCTCATAGTGGCAGGGCTTGGGCTGCTTGGGCTGCTTGGGCTTGTTTTGATTGAAGGTTGTTTACAGTCCAATCAGGAACAGAGGATGAGAGGAGCTCGAGGACCACGGCAATATACAGCCAAGCTTCGCCATGCTGTTGGTTTGCTAAGTTGGATCAGCCTAGCCGAGCTGTAATTGCATCAGTCTTGAATGTTCAAGAAGATAAAGGCACAACAAACAAACAGACTGCACAGGAAAGCCGTTGCTAAGCCCTGTGCAAAGTTGATCAAAGTGGCACCAAGTTGCACCAAGTTGCAGGATGTTGCAGGATGTTGCAGAGGTGTGTGTCGATGACGTGTGTGCGAGATGTGTTTGTTGGCCGAACCTTGTGTAATCCGATCTGAAGGCCAGGACACCTGCAAGTGAAACACACGATGGAGCACGTGTGTTTAACGTTGCATTAATCATTCTTCGGCACACCGTTGCATGTACCAGCGATCGTCATAGTTCCGTAGCAATCATGTCTATGCGTCCTTATTGGTCATTCGTACCAGTTTGTAAGACGTACCCGCAGACGAGTTCAGAGCTGGCTCGTAGAAAGAGGACAGATGGTGACACACAGGGCTGAAAGGTTCTTGCTCGAGATCTGCGATAGTTTCAGTCAGAGGGTGAATGAGGCAGGTGCCGCGACGAGCACACAACCTCAGACAACTTCAAGATGGTTAAACAGCCGTGACACTCATGTTTCAGAGCATTGCAGATGGCTTGCATCAAGAAAATCCTGCCACTGTTGAGGCCGCTTTCCAGAACCTCTGAGAGCCCGCATGTGGCTATTGTGGCAACGATGCTTAGTTGCGGCATCGCGGCAGAAATCAGCGAAAAAAGGTCCAATGAACATAGCTGCTGCAGGTTGTTGCTTTGGCTGGTGTAGACATGAAGGTGCAGTCTCACTGCTGGACAGGTCTTCCACACCTCATAGTCTGCCTTCATTTTTCATTGACGCATTGACTTGCGAAGCTGCGTGCCGTCACGTTTCGAAGTCAGCGCTCTGTGGCCCCTACGCCGCTACGCTCTGGCTGACACAGCAACGGGATCGAATCTTGGCTGCATGTTTGTCCAAGGCTTTGCAGTACGGCCAGCTTCAGAGCTGGAAGATGCTGGAAGATGCTCGAAGTTCATTGCACCATTTGCCATCCAAAAAATTGCCCAATGTCAGCAGGAGATGCTCAAGCCCCAATGTCCTGAGAAAACCGACATTCGAAAACTCGATGCACTGACTGTCAGACTTGACTCAACGCGCATGAGCTTGTTGCTTCTTGAGTGGTGAAGAGAAAGGGAAGTGGTCTCACGGCGAAGATGGGGCACCTCGGCAGGTTGGCCGTGACCAAGCAAATAAATACGAGAAAAATCTCATTGTTATTTGAGATTGCATACTTGCATGTTTTATTTGCATGCTTTGTACTCCAGGACATCCTGAGGGAAACTCAACCGCCTACTTTTAATTTTATCGCTAACGCGAGGCCGCCTCGGCAAGGGTACCGAGGCGGCAGGAAGGGGCAGTGGGGGTGAGGGGGTGCCCCCATGATGAGATCTTCAGCGTATGCTAACATACGCTTCGGTTGGCGCACACACAACACAGATGTTCTTGTACAAGCGATGCTCCCCCTTGTGATCTTCAACTTATGCTGACGGCCGCTACGTTTGGCAAATCGCCGGCTGCCATCTGTGGACTATACAAGACAAGTCCAGCAGCACGTTGCATACGCGTAGATGCATCATGCGCAACTGACCCAAGCCACGTCCACTTCGAAGAAAGCAAACATGCCACATGGTTTGTACATAGCATTCATTCAATAATCTGAATTCAGACATCTCTCGTCAATGCCGATTTAACTTGTCTATTGAGATGGCGGTTACTTGCTATCAGTTGCTAAGGATGGCTTGGAAGCTTCTGGTTGCAACTCAATTGCTCTGTCTGAGGCTCAGTGCGGCTGCAAAAAACTTAGCAGTTGGGCCCCGACCGACATGACACTATGCGTGCAGTCGGGAGATCATGACGACACATCTGCAGACTGCAGCATTGCGATCATAGCCATAGCTTAGACAAGATCATACAAGTGCTCCCCGTACTCCACAAGCCCACAGTATGGCAGCAGCAGCCTTGGAACATTGACGGATTTCAGGCAGTGTGACGGCTGACGAACTCGCCAGGGTATCTCCGAGCTTGGTTAATCAAAGTGCCAGTTGCACTGGGCTGACGTGCACCTTCAAAAACCCCTGAACACGCTACCTAGCTAGTGTGAACGCTCGCCTTACACCCGGCATAACGTAGAAAGGCCTTCAGTGTTTGGGTTTGTTTCTTTTGGTGTGGCTGTTTTGGGTTTGGGGTTTAGTTCGGTTTGGGGTTCAGGAGAAGCAGGATGCCGCAGCACAGAGCCGAGAACGCACGCACACCGCAGCATGCAGCAGCAATGGACATTGAACCTTTGATGTGATGGTGATGGCTCTGTGCGGGAAGCGCCCCAGTCTCACTCCAGATCATTGACATCACCTAGCAGTATGCATCTGCGGCAAAGTTTGAGTTCAGCTTGAGCCCGGTTGAGAAGTATGAGCCGACGGGTCAATTGCCGTCGTGCGCTTCGCACAGTTTTGACAGCGGTTGGTGGGGGGCCACTCGAACACTTCGACCGCCATACCGCCTGTCAACCCCATTCCTTTTGTTCCCGAACCTGGAGCCTTAGCCACCCCCACCTTTCAGGTAGAAGGGGGGTTGGGGGGGCTGGGGGTGGGTGGGGTGGGGCGGGTGAGGGGTGCGGGGGGGTGAGGGGTGGGGGGGTGATTCGTCATAGCGTCGGTTCTTCTTGAGTGTGGTTTTGTGCAGATGTGCAAGGCTCCACATGTAACTGCGATGCATGCGTGCACAACAGTTGTCAAGTCTAGTTAAAGGTGAAAGTGGGCCAGCGAAAAAAGCTGGTACATGTGAATACTGGAGGGTTTGATTCCTTTTGGAGATCTTTGGAATATGCCAGATCCTATCAATGGAGGTCGGAGTGCTCTGGCGATTTGCTTCCAGCACGGGCCATTTCTTGGCCAGCGTGTGACCAGGCCGAAAACATCGCGCATTCCGACGTTTTCGTGGTTTGACGGTGCAAAAACGTGGTTTTTCAAAAACCCAATGTTTGTGTTTTTTTGGTGTTATTTCGCTTGCATGCACCACTTCAATGAAAAACACTGTTGCCCGTAAGCAATGTCGTAAAAATGGGCTAATGGGAATTTATAGGGCTTACCCCTTCCATGAATGCTTTGCGGTCCACGGTTCTACTTGGCCGTATGCAAAGCGCCAGGAAACGGGGGGGGGGGGCAGCAGGCTTCAGGGTTCAAAAATATTGCAAGTGGTGCCTTTGTTGAGATTTCATATGCTTTCATGTGCTTCCCTCTCGTGAAATTAGATTTGACAGGCGATTGTTGACCCATATGGTAGGCACATTTTCTCCAGAGGAAGATCGCCCGGTCGCAGCAAGCTGAAACAAGGTATTTGCATGGGTGCGAAAACAGGCATTATCCAAGGCTCGAATCTAAGTATTGTATTTATGACTCTGTGCCGCCCCCAGGCGTCGCACCCCCGCGATGAGGGTGTCAAGCACAGTCTGAGTAATTACCCATCTCCGGTGGACAGTAGCAACAAACTCGCAAAAGTTGGAAAGAGCCATAAAGCCTCATCAACCATAACGAGCATGAAAGAGCCCCTTTGGGCTGACTTCAGCTTTGGCAAAACACTTGTCATGCGATTGCTCTCACAGTACCTCGGGACTGTTCCAAGTTTACCTTTTGCCAGGTGCGCACAAACCGCACGAACCTGACCGTTTCATCCTCCGGCTTTTGGCGTGTCAGCGTCCGGCTCTTGATGCACCTGTGACCTTCAGCCGCTTCAGCCGCTTCAGCCGCTTCAGCCACTTTTGGATTGAGGACATTGTCGTTGGTGGACATCAGTGGCGCAACCCTTAGAGACAGATCCGCATTTCGTTTTTTTGCACCCCTGACTTCCAAGGTGCCGCGCGTATGTTCCAGACAGCTCCTGGTCTTTGAGCTTCCTGTCAGAAAGACAGTTAGTAACTCTTGGTTTTAAATTTGTCTTGCAGAACTTGGAGCTTAGAACTTATAACACAGAAAGTGATAACTTTATAGTCGGGAACCTAGGAACTCTTCCTTTGAAACCACAATGTGGCTTTCACACGGCACCTGTGGGCCGCATGAGCATGAAACAAGAATAACAGTTAAGACAATGGAAGTTATGTGTTGGCAGAGCACTGCCCGTATTGTACGCATAAGTCAGGCAGTCTTTCGAGGTTCGGCCCGACTAGGCTTATGAGGCGCATGCCTTGCAATTTCTGGACCAGGGAGTTCATTTGCATTTTTTCGCGCGTTCCTTTGCGAACGGATTAGCGTTTTCTTAGTGTTTTTTTGTGTTCCAGGGTTGTTCGCGCGTGAGTGGCGTGGGGGCAGGCGAAAAAGCGCGCAATTTTGTTGCTAATGTTTCGCCAAATTTTCGCCAAAAGTTCGCTAGTTTTCGCTTTTTTGGCCGGGTTATTCATCGCTACTTTTTCGCAATTACCCTGGGCGATAGCGGAAAATCCGTGAAAAGTTAGCGCCCGCAATTTGGGTCTGTCTATTTGTTCTCTGTTGTTTCTCTTTTTTTCTGATGTTTCTCTGTTTTGCTCTAGTGTTCACATTTTTTTCGCAAGCCCGTTCACAGCAAAAACGTAGGCTTTGAGAACCGGAACCGACAATTGTTTGGCTCGTGGTCGTGAACGCGAAAGCTGCCTCCATCTTTTGTTGCTCTCCCAGCTGTCAGCACGTGCATTTCAAGTTCTTTTAGCTGTTGCCGGGGGGGGGTCAACCAGGCCAAGTGCTTTTCAACTATGGGGGACCCCCAGGGCCCCAGGCCAAGTGCATTGCAGCATATTGCAGCCTTTTGGCATCTGGCCTCGCGCAAAGAATATTATGGGCACGGCTCAAAACGCCAGGCTTGTAACAGGCTCCCAGGCGCCCGCGGCGCGACAAAGGGTTTGTGACAAAAAACGGTTCTTGCGACAACCCTTGCGCGACAAGGCTTGCGACAAGGCTTGGCTGGCATTCTTAACAAGGTGGGGGCCGGGCCCCTGCGACGAGGGGGGTATTCAGCCAGTGTTCAGCGGGACAGCACTTGCTGAGCTACTTTCGATGTTCCTTGAGGACCATAGCCTTCGGGACCCGGGTTGGGAGTCTCACTTTTTGCGTCGTTGGAAGACAGGAAACTATTTGCTTTTTTTGAAGGACATGGACTAAGTGGAAGTCGCCTGGCAAGCAGTGGCCCACATACTCCTGCCTGGCGGCGCCGTCGCATGCACAAACGAACGCGAAGATAAGTGAGTCTCTTCGGTCATGCGCCTGGGACATGCTGGGACTTGCTGGGAGGGTTATTTGAAAGCTGTGTGCTTTTTCGAGTGGCCCTACCCTAAATGCACTTTAGTTGTTGAAAAGGAGCACTTTCACTGAAGCTTTAAGGCTTCGCATTTTCAAGAAGAACAGCATTTCACTGCTGCAACATTTTGAAGTTCGCAAGCTCTCTTGGAAAATCACGTTTAGAGGGCCCAGGGAAATCCCAAAGCCTCCCCTTTCCCTTCGTGGCGTCCACCTCTTACTGATCTTGCTGCCCTGTTCCCCTCCTCTTGCCCTCCTCTTCCTCTCCTTTTGGGATTTCCGGGGGTCTTTCAATTTTTGAAAGATTTGTCGTCACAATGTAAAGAACTTCGAAACAGGAACAGTTTGTAGAAGTTTTAAGCTTTTGAATGATCAAAATATTGATGTTTACATTTATCGGCGCTGAGGAATCCCAAAGCCCTCCCTCATGGCGTCCACCTTTCCCTTCCTTTCCCTTCTTCTTGCTCTCCTCTTTGAGATTTGCGGGGCCTTTAAAGCTAAAAATGCCCAAGAGGGGCGCGAAAAGGTTGTTTCATTATGTTGAAGAAACCCCTGAGATTCCTAAAGATCCTACGTACATACCTGCATCGTTATATGGCCACTCGCGATTATTGGTGCTGGCGGGACCGCATAGCACACACCATCGCACCCTGCACGCAGCCATTGAACCAGAGCTGAGGCTGCAAGGGTGGCTTGCGAGCGAAGGTCCGGTCATTGGAATGCGGCAGTTGTTGGCAGTAGAGAATGTCTGAGATGTTCAGTTCGCGGAAAGTGACTGGGACAACTTGGGACAGCAGATGTAGTGACTGTAGTGCTATGGAATCAACGTTGTCGGCTGTGCCCTTGATATCCATGAGATCAGGTATTGACGTACAACTTGTTCTGGTAGCGAACTTAGCACCTGGCATTCGACACTTTGCCTCACACGCCTTCATGGTCTTTGTATGTCTTGATGACATGCGGATTCGATAGTGGCTGACGAAATGCTGAGGTGGAACCTCTTTGGCCTGAGAGGAGGTTGGCGGTGTGGTGCTTTCGATTTGTCGCTTCAAGTGGCTTCCAGCTTCCTTACAGAATCATCATGAATGTCACGGAGCCCATTATTGTTTTATGGCAATCATCTGATTGTTGTTTGCTGTAACTTGCTGTTTTTTTGGAAGTTGTGGGTTGGAGATTAAAGCTTGTACCTGGCATGCGGTCCTGTCGTTGCTTTGCGCAGTTGCAGACAGAGGGTGCCGACAACAAACGAAACGTCGACAAGGCGCTTGGTAGACGCAACCCCAACAAGTCGAAACAAAAATCAAAAGCTAAAGCGCTTGGAGTCGTGCTGAAACCACCCTTTGTGTCGTACCAGCATTGTTATGTTTTGCTCGCAGGTGCGGCAATATCAACGCCAATCATGCTTTGACTTCGCATTGTGCGAGTTGCAGCATCGGTATCTAGTTGTGTCTTGCTTGGCTGCTCGCGCCAACGCATGGTAATAAATCAAAGAATGTCAAAGTGAGTCTTTTGCTTGTTGTTTGTGCTGCGGCTGGGCTTATTACTACCGGAAGCATATTGCTTGTAGCGCATCACTGATGAGCTGTTGGCAGTGCACATTGTGGCTATGCTCCTTCTAACCTTCTGGATTCACAGACGGTCGCAAAAAGCATCTGCAACACAAGCGTGACTGCAGGTGAGGGAAGGCGTAGTGGAAGGCTTATTGCAAGGGCCTCAAAGGAACGCAGGGAATATGAGCGTCCAATGGCAGACCATGTCAGCTATGTGAGCTCGTGAGAGGAGTTACTGCAGTAGCCAAGCATTTAAGGCCTCCACCGCGTGGCCCGATCCCTACGACTTCATGGGCTTCCAAGAATGCGACGACATCGAGCGTGTCATCAACGACGCTGGACAAGCCGCTGGCAGCAGTACTTGCCTGTTCTTGTTCTCTTCAGTTGCCTGATTTTCACGGAGCACCATTGGCGGCAGAAGGCGTGGAAGTATGATTCGCGTGGGTTTGGATATAGGAGGAGGTCCAGGGACACACTTGTTCGGAGTACGAACCAATTATCTCATGTCAAGATGCAGAACGAGCTGGTTCTTTTTGCTGCTGACGTCATTCCTTCACGATGCGTGCGCAAGTAAATGTCTCTGTGACTATGTGACAGTTCCTTGCTGCAGATTTTAACAAGGGTTGACTTGTTTGATGCATGGGAGTGTGCATACAGTCCATTCATCACGCAACGGAGACCCCAGCTGTATGGTGATATCCACCTCGGATGCCGGGTTGACGTGCCTGCATTTTGTGATGATGTGATGCACTTCTGCTGTGTATGGTACAGGCCTCGTTGTAGGAAGTAGAACATCCTCTCGTATTCGTGCTTGAGGACATGTGCCAGCGAGTTCGTCCGTAGACTTGTGGTTACAGTGCATTTTGCGAAGTCATCGATGTCGGCCATGACTTCTTAACTTATATGACTGTAAGACTCTATGACCTCTGCTGGAGGCCCACAGGCCTTGACCGAACCGCATTCTTCACATCAGACTACATTAGATTGGGCTGCATGGTTCGACGAGACAGCAGGACTGCAGAACGAGTACACAAGAATTCAAGGACCCCATGCGCCGGCAGCTCAGCAATGCTCGGCACATGCCGCTGAGAGAATGTACTTTGGAATTGGGACGAGTGCGGCATTTTTGTGATGACAACACGATGATGATGATGGTGATGATGCTGATGATGATGATGATGGTGATGATGGTGATGATGATGATGCTGATGGCGATGATCTACTGTATGTAGTAGTAGCTGTTGTTGAGCAGGATTCGGAGCAACGTAGTTTGGGTTGGAGCCTGCCGGAGGTTGGGCGTTGCCTACCGCAAGGCCATATGGCAGGAGTTGGGTCGCATTCTCAGAATGGCTCGGCCTTTTTGCCAGAAAAGATACAGAAGCAGTCTCGAGGACAGTCTCGAGGTTAAGGGGTTCAGGGTGAAGGGGGAGGAATAATCATCGAAATGAAAGAGGGGGGGGCGGGAGGGAGGGAGAGGGGGAGAGGGAGAGGGGGAGAGGGAGAGGGGGAGAGGGAGAGGGAGAGGGAGAGGGGGAGGGAGAGGGGGGGAGAGAGAGGGGGCGAGGGAGAGGGGGAGAGGGGGAGAGGGAGAGGGGGAGAGGGACAGGGGGAGAGAAAAAGAAAGAAAAAGATAAAGAGAAAGAGACAGAGAAAGAGAAATCGAAAGAGAGAGAGAGAGAGAGAAAGTGATTGGTCGAAGCAGGTTGTTCCAATTGAGTGGCGCGGGAACGGGGTCGCGCAAGAGCGCGGGGGGTCATTCCCCCATACCCCAAAGAAAGAAAGAGAAAGTGATTATGGTTTTGTAGTAAACCCCGAATGACACTTCAAGCCATGGATTGCCACACCAACCAGCACCGTCTAAACACACAGAGCACAGAGAAGGGCACCTCAACAAGGGGACAACCTCTTGGAGCACGCCTTTCGGGGCGACCTCCTGCGGGGGGTGAAGTGCTGTGGAAGGAAGGAAGGAAGAGAGAAAGGGAGAAGTGCTGTGGAAGGAAGGGAGGAAGAATGAACCCTCGAAATTTACGAGGGCACCGTTGCCATCGAATGCCCAGACAGGTGTGTGCAGGAAGGGCTTGAGTTCCCCCTGAACTTTCCTGAATTGAAGAACGGTCGCAGCCTCTGCGGTCAATGAATGCCCTGTCATTCAATACCAAGTACGGCACTTGAGCCACGCAAGCAACTTGAGAACCACACAAAACGGTACCCGCACAAGCGAAGGGAACGCATAAGAAATAGTAAGATGGATGAAGGTTCTGTCAGCGAACTGCAAATCCGATAGCTTCTTTGTTTTGAAAGGCCGAGGGCAAGCCGACATTGCAGAGGATAGACGAGATCAATGGTGCGCTCAGGAATTTTCACAGCATGTCGTGCGTCATATCTCCGGCAATACTTAAGACGATGCCACGTGCGCAGGTACGGCCAACGAGCTGTGCAGCCAGGAGCCTGACGAAGATGTGCTTCTGCACAGCATCCAGTTCCGATGCACTGCACAGCTGAGGTGGGTTCGAGTGCAACACAGGCAGAACAGCTCGGGGCTCCGATCCCTCTCAATGTTTTATGGATGATCGCATGGGCGCGGCAGTTAATTCCTAGGGGCTTGTCCGGGGCTTCATCAGCGGTTTCAAGCGGTTTCAAGTCGAGCCGAATTCCGGTTCCGAGGCCGGACAGTGCTGTTTCTGAACTTCCATGGCCCCCTTCCGCTGAGCAGCGGGGGCAAGTGTGGCTGTGAGGCTGAGAAGTCACTGAGCAGTGTCAGCTTTCAGTCGTTGATCATACTCGCTCATGAATATTTCAGCAGATTTCAGCAGTGGTCGATAGTGGCCGTTGCACAGATCATTGTAGCGCCAGGCCACTGCATACAACATAATGAGAGTAATTGGCGAGAACGCGGAGTCCAACGATGATGTTGCTTCCTCAGTCGTGTCGGGTCCTTCTTAAATGGCACGCATGCGCGAAGCAAGCAGATTTCAGGTGATCCTCGTAGGCGACTTCAACTCCATCACGGGGTCTCCCACAATCCAGAAACTGTCTGAGCGTCAGGGGCTCAAAGACTCCTCGTTTCTTGGGGCTTCTTGGGTTGTTGCGTAGTGTGTTGCGATGTTTGTGCAACTGTTACAAGATGTCAAGTGACAGTATCAACAGCTGACAATGCTGCACAGGTTCAACTTCGACTGTTGAGTGTTCGATACCTCTCAGCAGCGGTGTGTACGGGCGAAGCTTGGAGCTTCCCCTCAATCCCACAGCTAGCGTCTAGCGTCAGTCTGCGCGGGAAGCACGAAGATTCGCAGCTCCAGGTTTCAAGCTTCATCAGAAAAGGCAGTTTCCGCACCTCAAGCTTTACGATTACGCGGGAAAGCATGGCAAACCGAGCACACGCTTCAAAGCGTTCACCCTCTGATGGAGCATTCCTCGAGCAGTGTTTCGCTGTTCGCATCATCCGCTCTGTCAACGTAATTAGTTCGGATACCGGCCCTAACCCACTTCGCTCTTTGATTGCCCACCTCAGAAGCGATGCCCCCTCAACAAGCAAATCGAGAAGGCACCAAAAGGCTTGACATCCGAGAACACGTCAAAGACGCTAGCAGCTGGATTGTTTGCGCTCACACAGCAAAAGCCAAAGTCCACGGGTGGTGAGTAGTGCAGTTCCTCCATCCTCGACCTGACTCAATACAGTGTTTCCTGCATCTTCTTGCATGTCAGGCATGCACCGCGTTTTCAGTGGCAATGCGCATGGTGGCGTGGACCACATTTTCAGCAGTTGGGCACACAGCTTCCCAACAAGTCCAGTCAAAGCGATGTCAGGCACCCTTACAAGCAGACTTTGTGTGTTCGAAATTCGACACAAAAATGATGCAGCTCCATGGCTCAGGTTGCCCTAGTGTCAAGGGCACCTGGAATTTGGGTACTGGCGGCAGTGACCATGATGCTCTCAGCGCCCTCATTGAGGTCAGGGCCAGGGTGGGCTATTTTGCGATGGGGTGCTAGTCAATGTTAGTCAGCTACACTGGCTACACTTGCATGAGCCTGCCAGGCGTGATGTGCACGCTCGAGTTGTGCAGGCCAGGTTCTTTTCGATGGTGCAAACACTGGACCTTCCCCTTCCACACCCTCGACCGTTACTGACAATACTGTCTTCTGGTGCTTGGTCACAGCCGAAGTTGCCGACAGCGTTCTAGTGCCATAGCCATTTCTTCCACTTATCAAGGAATGTTGCGGGATCTGCACATCTGTCCTGTCCATGTGCAGGCAAGAAGCCATACTATCCCTTTTCGTGCTGAGATACCTCAAATTGGGCATAAAGCGCGATCCCAGACCAGAAGGCTGCTCCTCTGCTGAGTCAGCTCTTGCCTTCGACAGAAGTTATTTTTTTAGCATTTAGCAGCGATGTAACGTTGCATTACTGATCAGAGTTTGCTGCGCGGCACTTGTGCCCGTCTTCTAAATATCATCTTATCATCTGTATATCCTTTTACCTAGTGCCCTACTTTATTGTTTCGTCACCGATCTCTTGCCTTGTTGGCATTCTTGCTTTGGAATCAGCAGTGACACAATCTATATCATGCTTTTTTGATTTGGATTGAGGCGCCTTCACGAAATGCATACTTCGATTGAGACTAATGAGGTTGCCATCCAAACTCTCGTTCTTGATGCATTCGAGGCAGCCGGGCCCATTTGTGGTGCTGCGCCGTGAGGTTTGCCACCATTTGCCACCCCCAAGATGAGGGCTTGGCAGAAACGCTTAGTCCACCCGTGGCTAGCGCAATCAGGGCCAGTGGGCTCCGCTACTCAAGGGCCATCGTATAGGTTGACTGCATGTGTTAGTAAATTTCAGCGGAGCAAAGAATTTTGACACTGGACCCTTGCAATGACAGAATTCGGAAAGGCGTTGTACACCAGTGACTGGTCAAACAAACGCGGAAATTTTCCGTGACGCAGACAGCTACGGAGTTCTGACCCTCCCACGCTACGTTTGAAGCCGGCCGCTTGCGAGAGCAGCTCTTGAAACTCCGGGTGTTCAGCATGCTAGGCAGTTGTAAGCAGCATCGGCAGCAACGTGGCTCTGAAATCTTCAGGTAGTGATCAAATCATACGAACGATCCAAGCTGGCTGCTGGCCATTGAAAGCTACAGTTCTCGCGGCAAGCTCACCTAGTGACCTAGTCCTTGCGGTGATTAAAGTTTGGTGCTAGACGGGCCGTTGTGAGCTGCTTTCTTTTTGCAGATGAGCTTGCCCACACTCACTTGCTTGTCGCCTTCTTGCTGATTGCATAGAGGAGACCAGGAAATCCTGCCCTCCACGAAGAGCGGCAAGCTGAAAAAGACTGGATTTCGATGCTTTGGCGAATGCATCAACGCCATCAAGCCTGTTGGACTGTCATTTTCGGTCGCTTGTGCTTGCTTGCTTGTCCCAAACGGGCTGCCAAGCAACAGGTATGCACCAGGCCCCGCTGGACAGAGATGATGGTGCACATAGGACATAATGACATATGTTCCACATGTTCCACATGTTCCATATGCTCCACAATGTTTCATCGCTCATCATCAAATAACATGCTCTGCAGGTTCTAGCGAGGTTTGGGGACACTTCTCATAGGCAGCCCATGACTGACAGATCATGCGAGGGATCGCCGAACCCTCGCATCCAGCAAGAAGCAAGTAGAAGCAAGTAGAAGCAAGTAGAAGCAAGTAGAAGCAAGTAGAAGCAAGTAGAAGAAGCTCAAGCCTGGCATGATCACCACTGGTCTTTCGGGGCTCAGTTGTTGAACAGGTTTCGGCTGGATTCAGCCTGATTCAGCCATTGGTCATGAGTCATTCTGTCATATCGCTACACCTTGAAGCAGGAAGTGTCAATTCTGGCACCTGCACCGACTTTTGATCTCTGTCCAGTCAATACCACAATGCCGTCAGGATAGCATACGCGATCCGCTGTACTGCACTGTGAAAGTCCCAGGAACACGCTGAGGAACATGATTTGCGGTGAATGCCTATGTTCGGTGGAAGTGAATTTGGATTACATCAGACATAAGTGTGAAGAATTGCTGGGGCGCCCAAGGTTTATGTAGAATACCAGCATGGCCATGGCGGCGACACACGTGGATCCTACGAAAACGAGACAATGACCGTCCCAATTGTCACATCTAACGATATCTAACGTCTAGTCTGCCATGCGACTTGGATCCGTGCGCCAAATTCATCGAGTCTAGACCTAAAGAAGTTTGCAGGGCATGCCATGGGAGTAGTGGCTCGGCACGGTCTGGCACGTGTCCATGGAGGGTCAAGAGGACTTTAGATGTCCAAATTTTGGGCAGACCTTCAGGAGATACTTCGGGTGCTTCGTTTCTCTAGACTTCGCTACTCTAGACCAGCTGAGTGCTTTGACACTCCATGGGCTCAATTAGCTTTGCTAAATTTGTTTGTGCCTTGATCTGCCCTTCCTGCACTTCACTCCTGTCCCATTTGTGCAGAGTTCCCAAGCTACCTGCTGCCGGAACGCATTTGCCTGGCATGACCCGGCTGCGCATGGCCAGTTCTGGCATCATGTGATGTCACGCCGTATTTTGTTCTCGAATTGATCTGGCACTGGCACAGCGCATCCAGCAGCATGCCGGCTCTGCGTGGCAGCATGATGCACTGGTCGCTTATCCGCGATTAAAGAGGCTATGCGATCGGGATAGCTGCAAAGCGCAATGCAACACGGTGCAAGATAGGGCTTCACATGGCGTCACATGGCATCATCTTATCAGTTTGTTGCTGCTGTTTGCTGCAGCTGCTTGGTTCGAATGAGTCACGCGGCACGTGCGCCTCATGTAGACTGCAGGCTCAGGAACACTCAGATGCATCACTAGTCAGTGTGAAGTGAGCTGGGGGTGTGGGGTGCGACCTGAAAGTTCGGCAGATGTGGCATAGTGTCGGCTCACTATCTCGCTCTCGCTCTCGCTCTGCTCCGCCTCCTCTCCCTCCTCCTCTCGTACGACGGAATGTTAGTCGAGTCGTTTGCAACTGCATTGTGTTAGGCAGGACTGCCCTCATTCGTGACCCTGCTTATTCTCCATTCTCCTCGTCGCGTTTCCGACAAATTCCGACACATGTTTCGACTTTCCCCGTCATCCTTCTGGCATGCTGTGCATCTGGTCGGTTATTTTCTGTGTTCGCATGCTGCACTGCAGGACGCGCGTCTGCATTCTCCTGCAGGCATGAACGAGATTCTAGGCCGGAGTCAGATGCCAGGGTTTTAGACTTCTCCCGCCCAGCAGCAGTGTCCTTGTGCAGGCTGGGCGGCTGTGATCTTTGTGCTCTGGGTGGTCTGCTGGACTGCGGGTTTGGGTGAGCATAATTATCAGTTAAGCAAGCACGGTCGCGCAGTGAGTTGATTTTTGTAATCTCTTTCGCCTGCCTTGCATGTGCCACCAACAAAGACAGAGCTTATCGGATAGCGGACCCAGTTGCATCAGCTGCGCACAAAGCATTTGCCACCCTTAGAGAGGACCTGCGTGCTGTTCTTCGCATGGGCTCTGACGGATCGGCGCTACAAGCCAAAAACTAACTAAGCCCAACGAAGCCACATTGCAGAAAGCTTGATGGCTCCCTGTACGACATGACCTTCTTGGCCCGACAGGGCTTTTGTCGGGAGCATTGGGAGCATGGAATACTGACTGGTTCGATTCCTCGGCTCAGCTGAAGCTCTCAAATTTTAGCTCTGCTTTTGGACGGACCATTGCAGAAGCATTGCAGAGCCCCTCTGGCAGAGCCCAGATCCCAGAGCTGGAAGTTCGTGTCGCTGCAGCATGGCGAGCTTCGGGGACTCTGGAATTGCTTTTGAATGTCGACCGAGCGATAGTTGATGTCGGTGCCCCGGACAACTGCATCGAATCTGAAGGGCTTCTGGACTTTAAGCGGATCCGATTGAGATCAACTCCTGGCTGCATTCTGACCTGGCTTCCCACGACGGTCACAAGCTGACAAAAGCTATTTGGGCCGCACCGGCACAACCTGCAGCAAAAGCAGTTTCGTCAAGAAGTAAGGAGAGTAACTGAGTAGGAAGGGAGAGGAAGGAAGTAAGGGACAGCAATGTAACAGTCGCTGGAGCGCCATGTGCATGTTGATGTGTTGCCCACCCACAGCCACATGCACCCGTAAACAACAATCACCTTTCAACAGCTCTCTACACTCTACTACCACTTAGCGAGGAGATAGGACTGGAATGAGGACAGACATTAGCGAGGAGGACAGATACCAGGAGAATAGCTGTGGACCCAGGCATCCAGAATCTAGGGTTCATGGTCAGGGTCCATGACAGGTACGAAAAGAGATAGCACGACAGGAAACAGGGGACAGGTAGGAGGCCATATCGCGGCCAACAGGCCTCGCAGGCCGGCGATTGCACCGAAAAGTAGCCGCCATATCGTGGCCAGCAGGTCTCTCAGGCCGGCGATTGCTCCGAAACAGGAATGCCAGCAGGCATAACCCGTCTACCAAGTTTAGAATGTATTACAGTAGAATGACTAGATGTTCCAAGGAGGAAAAGCAGATTCGCCTTGCCTTGCATCGTCCACTGTTCTGGGATGGAGGTTCACGTCTGTGTAGCATCACACGCCCACAAGCCAAGCGCAGCCTTTTTATTGACAAAAGAGTATGGCTAAGGATAGATGCAGGAATGGACTAGCGAATCCTACTCGCATGTTTTTCGCGGTAGCAATTCCTACTCGCGAACAGAAGTTGTCAATCGCACGTTTTTGGCTGCTTTGAGAATTGTAAATATGCTCTTAAACTCGTATGTTCCCGTCGTATGCGTGGGAGAAACACAAACCACCACCAGTTTAACTTTGCAAAGAATTGGGCTCGGCTTGTAATATCGCACTACACGGCTGTAGCTTCATCCCTTAAATCAATACAACGGCTGTGCTTGGCCTTTGATCATGTCATGCTACAAAGAGCCTAGTCATACTAGTCTTAGTAGAAGCGAGTAGAAGCGCTATGCCCAGCAAATCTTTACTTTGGGACAAGGCGGGGATGCTCGAAGATGTGCTCGAAGTGGTCTTCGCTGTCTTGATCTGGTCGGCTGCTCCTTTAACCTCTTCCTCGCTCACAACATAGGGGGATGTCGCATGACGTTACTTAAAGGGCTTGTGCCACTCGCTGCTTGGGCCTAGCAGCTAGCATGCTAGTTTGCTCCTTCTCCGGTTTTTGTGTCCACGTGGGGCCCCAGCTGCCAGGCAATACTGATCAAAACCAAGCTTTGGGTGATCTAACGTTTGATCGTGCATGCGTGGTCTTGTCACGAATATGTGAAGACGTAGCTGGCCATATTGCCTTTGGGTTCAAGCAGTCAAGCAATTATGCGGCAAAGCCGATTGCATGATTGATATGCAGCCCTAAGACGGGGCTGCACTGAGATCGGATGGAAGCGGTGAGGCCTGACTCACCGAGGTCTTTGGATCGAGCTTCGGTCTCAGATTGCTTGTGCCCTTCCCCTTCAAAGCATGCAAAGACTTCGAAGACGTTGAAAGACATTGACAAGTATTTGAAAAGTTTATTGCGGAATGCAAGGCACAAGCTGGTAGCCCGGACTCCTTCAAAGTCGAGTACGATCGGGTTGCATCTCCACGACTGCCGCCGAACAGGAGACGGCCTTTTTCTGCAAGAGGCAACTGCACGCAACCGGCACGATGTTGTTATCTTCCTTTTTTCATGTTTTTTTGGACTGCTGCTCTGCAGTCCCACTTGCAAGTCAAAGGCAGGCCAGCTCGTGCTCCGGAGCAATGGGAAGAAATTCTGGATTTGGTGCCGGCTCCACCTCCTCCTCCCGTTCTGGGTGTCTCGGCATGTTGCAGGGCCTCTCGCCTCCCGCCAGTGACGACCAGGAACAGCCCAAACGATGATGTGGGGCATGCAGTTCAGGATCACCTAGCAGAGATGTCTGAGTAGACAGGAGATCTCTTGTCAGCTTGTGAAAATGTCTTCTGATTCGCGGCATTGTTTGGACCTGTTTCGCAACAGTCATCGAAGGTTAGTTTCATGCAGCATACCTGTGGCCAGGTGGCGTGCGCACTTTTGACCAGTGCCCATCAGATGAGGTTCAGCTCAAGTGGAACAAGGAGCAAAGTCGTCCGGAACAATCTGGCCCTGCCGGAACCCCCGCGGGCCCTCCACACCCAACTGTTTTTCTCAAAGCCACCTCGGGTTGGGTTCTCCACCATGCGCGGTCCGAGAGAACGGTTGGACGTTGTTGGAAGAGGCGCAGGGTATGATCATGAAAGCAGGGATGCGTTAGCAGCGCCCGAATTCCGTCCCTGCAAAACCCTCGCAAACAACTCCGCGGACCCCTGAGTCAAGTTTGCCAGGCTATTCAGGATCGTGTGACCGTTTGGGGGTCTAGGGTGGGGTCCACAATGAGGTCAAGTCTTCCGGGTGTCGTAAGAAAATGTCGTGCAGAAGCATATTGAAATCAATTGCCGGCCTCGCTGTCCCTTTTAAATTTATGTACGCTCATCCCATTTAAAATCTTATAAATTCTGGATCGCGTCAGGAGGGACAAAACCAGTTTCGACTGTTCAGGTTGGGGGGGGGGGGAGCGGCACACAAAGAGGGTGGAGCATTTCTTTGCGCTTGCAGAAGCCCTTCAAAACATTGTGGTATATCCAGATTCCACGCACGCGCCTGCACAAATACCTCATGGAACATACCCGAGTCCTGCGCATGCAAAGCCCTCGCAGATCTTGTCGTACTCGAATTCCTTGGCTTGCAAACCCATGCAAATATTTCAGTGGTGGCTCCCCAGTCTTTACATTACAGTTTGAAAGCCTCGGCTTTGGTTCAAGCATTCGCAGTGATAGATCAGGAGCACAAAATGATTTTGCATGATTTGCTATTTGGTCGTGAAACTTAGGCTCTTAAACGGAGGTCGTTTGTCCTGTAGGCTGCCAGGGGTTTTGGGATGCACTCGGGCAAGGGCTGCTGCGATGGGAGTCTTGGGGGGCGGGAAGGTTTGATCAATCCGATCCTCGGGGTATTGGGAAGGCAGGGCACCATTCGAGGCAAAGTACTTGTTGGCTGTCCAGATCCTACCGAACAGTGGTGGGAGCGTCATGTTCTTGCACTTTTGCCACAGCAGCTGTGTGGCATACCCCCGCTCCTCATGTTGCATGCAACTTGTCAAGAGTGATTTCTTACTTTGCGGAGCCCCCAATTGAACGGGAAACTCGGCAGGGTCGCAGTGAGAGATGTGAGATCATGATAATGACAGAGTCGTTGATTGTGACAGGAGATGCTCCAGCGAGCCGACTGGACGATACGGCGCCTGAAGTTGGACATGAAGACACAGCAGGTGAAGTACAAGAGCTTGTTGGTACCACCAGGACAGCAACTTTGTGGCAATCCTCCGCAATTGTTGCATGTTGGCCTCAACACATTTCAAAGCATTCGGCAATAAGTCCCATTGCTGTTCTCTGAGAAGACTGCCACAGCAGAGGTACATCTCCTCTGCGCGCTTTCAGCTTGGCACCTGAGCTGTCAATTTCGGTTCTGCTTCGAGGGGCCATCTGTTTGCAAAGTCCTGGAGAACACCTGGAACGGCTCTCAAAAACATTGTTCCATACTGTTCCGGTCGCAGGCAAGTGACTCAAATCGTACTGTGGAGTGCAAGGCAAGGAAGCCACATTTCCCCCAACTTTCTTCGGCCGCGTGTGTCCAAACCACTGTGGACGCACTTCCAAACCGTGTCTATTCGATGTTCGTTTATGTTCGTTTCAAGTTTCTTGGCTGGGGTGCGAGGTGCTGTGTCAGTTCAGTTCGTTGTCCCAGTCTACGTTGGGACGCATTCCGGCAATCCGATACAGGGACTACTGTGTGCGAAGGCGGCGGTTGAGAAGTGACAGACCCTAGATCCCCACTTTCTCTTGCAGTATTGAGCTTGCTGTGAACCCTTTTTTGTCCGTAATTGCCAATTTCATGAAGTTGAAGAATTTCGTTAAGGAACACCGACAGCTTAATTTGCACAGTGACTCGCTTTTGGAATGTGTCCGACACCTCGCTTTCTCGCCTTGCGCAAGTTTTCACACAAGCTTGATGTCCCACGACCACACGAAGTCGCGATAGAAGAGTGCGCATCAAAGCTGCCGTGGCTTGCAGATGAGGCCGTGAAGCTGCATTCTTGAGGCAAGCCGGTGAGTCACAGCTTCTTTATGTTTCATTATTTCCCACGCCTGATTGCTTAGCAGTCTTCTTGTTGCCTCTATCGAGGTTGCAGAATTTGCTGGCAGGTTCTGGCCGAATGGGCTCTATGGGAATGCAACCAAGAAAGCTCGGGTGCGAATGGACTTGGGCGGACTGGATGCTGATTCATGGTGCGCCGTTGGCCTGTCAATGCCGGAGGGCACCAAGCTTCGATTTCGATTGCATGTGGGACCGGCACTGAGTTGCTATCCGATCTGAATTCTGTTTAAACGCATTTTCGTCATCCACGAGCTCACTGCCCCCAACTGCCCTTCACTGTGAGGACATGTCTGGTCGGAGGTCAGAGTTTGCCAGTGGCAAGCAACTGGAGCGACAGTTCATCAGATATGGACGCCTCCGCAACAGGAGCGCAGGAGTTGACAGTTCGATGAGGTGATGGGTTCGGTGTTCTGGCGTTGTGGCGTTTGGCATGCACGGGAGCCCTATGAAGACTCTGTTCTTGGACCTCCGTCCCAATAGGTAACGAGACACTGGAGCAAACCGGAGCCTCCCGTTCGACTTCAGGAACTCCTTCCGTGGAATTGGGTCCTTGGAGTCGGGGGTTTCCGCCTTGGCCCTCCTGGTACCCGCGGTCCTTAGCACACGGGGGGGCTGGCTGTGTTACATCTTGGATCTGGTCAGGCTTGCTGCTCAGTAGCGTCTGGCCCATGGTGGCACGGAGTTTCATCGAGTGCACTGCACTCTTCCTCCGGCTCGTTCGTGGTTGCTGCATCCGTGCCTTTAGCACCACAGCTGGACTTCCGCCTGCTATGCGGAGCTACCGGAGGTACGGCTTGTGTTTCGGAGTTGGAGCCGAGCGGCACTCATGGAGCGCAAAGCGGTGGTTCGTTCTGTGTTTGTGGTTTGGATTTGTTGATGTTGGGTGGCAGATGGTGGCAGACACTCTGTTAAAAGTGTTTGCAATAGATATGCTGGCGTCTCCACATAACATGCCACCTCCTTTTGGCTTTGCTCGTCTGGCGGATCCTTGTGGAGGTTCTGAGTCGGCGTACCTCCGGAGCCTTGCAAAGCCTTGTCGACACACACGCCCCGGGCAGCAGTTTGAAAAAGACATGCGCAAGACACTTCAAGACTTTCAAAGCATGACGGTTTTCCTATGTCTTCTTCAGGGCGCATGACACGCTTCAATGCATTGCTGATGCAAAGGAGCCAGGAGAGTTATCGAACTTGGTGGTGGGTGTAGAGGTCCTGCAAGACCTCACGACAGATTCCTTACCAGGCTGGTTTCCAAGTGTCAAGTGGCGGAGCGCTCAGTGCAGAACGGTCATGTTTGAGCTCGCATTAGGCATGATGTCATCACCGTGGTTGAGCTCCCCACGGTTCCAAAGATTGCCAAATGTTGACAACGACCCTGTCAGACACTTGAGCAATAGACAGAAGACCCTGCAGAAGACGAAGGCCAGCGTTTCATTGTTGGACCTGCAAAGGAGTCATGTAGTTGCATGTAGCTGCATAGGAATCCGAAGAAAAGCACAAAGCGCCGGCTTGGCTCAGGAGGGCGTGCCGGTGCTCAAGGCCATGCGGACAGACCGTGGGTTGGCATTGCCATCGCCCAGATTTGGATCTGCCCTCGAGTTACTTCGCAGCTCCTCTCGATGCCGGATGGCCCCTGCATGAGAATGCTGCAGAATGCTCTTGCCTTCATGGTCTTCACGAAGTGTCGGAGTTGCAGTTTTCGTCTTAAGCAAGTATCTGTTTTAGATGTGCTTTTCACTCGCGGCAGTTTGCTTCGGACTTGCCGGGCGCGAAGAAGCCTGAGAAAGCCACACAGCGGTTTGTGGCTTCCAGGACAGCCATCCTGGCTCAGAACCAAAAGTGCAGAGGGGGACTATGAGGCTTTGATTGCGTCAAGCCAGATAGAATTGTGGCACCGAAAGAGCATGGAGCTTTAGAAGTCTAGGGTTTCAGGTTCAGGGCTGTGATTAGTGTGGAACTACTGTAGGCAGGAATGACGAGCAGCTGTAAAAAATGAGAACCCCGGAACGGTGCGGGTAAGATGCTCTGTCATGGCCCCTGCACTCACGTCTCTCGGCCCTACGTTAAAGGATGTTCGTTTGATTCGGGGTCTGTGTATTTTCCCATCACGGGTTCGTGGGGGATGGGGTGCTTTTGGTGCTTGAATCAGTGAGATGACCTTTCAAAGGGGTTCTGTGGGGCGACCATGGTGGGCTTGCGGTTGGGGGGTAAGAATATGCACCCTAGAACCTAAACCACACAGCCCGACATCCCCAACATCTCCCAACCCTGAAGCTGCAAAGCTGCAAATCTCCTGAAGTACAAACCCCGAGCCTGGGTTTTGGGAATAGGGTTTAAGCTCCTATGCACTTACCAGAACCTACTTTTCTGTGTAGGGTCCCGATGAGTTCTACATTAGGTGTGAAGATAGAGCTTCTTTGCACTTCATACCCCTTGTCACCAGAGCCCTGCCACCGGTTGGGAGAGCTGAGATCGCTGCCGGCGGCGACGCTGGCTCAAGCGAGAGGAAAAGTGTCAAGGCCCGCACCAGTGCTAATTTGCACTGGTAGCGGAGCAGCTACCTTTCATAATCCTTGGGACCTTTGGGACCTAGTGTGCCCAGTACTGAAGCCATGGCTGCATCGGTGCTGGAGATGTTGAAAGCCTCCAACTTTGCGAGTGTGGAGGACGGAGACAATGTGACGGAAGGCAAGTTCGGCATTCCCCGCTACAACGGCGACCCCACCAGGTATCAGGAGTACGTCTTCCGGGTCAGGGCTCGAATACGCAAAGAGAAGAAGATTGACGAAAAGGAAGTGGCAAAGCTGGGTCCCTTGGGACTTCGCTTGCTTGAAGGCCTGACTGGGACGGCGTTCCGCGCCGCACAGATACATAGAGAAGCTGGAGAGTGCTGAGGGGCCTGAGATCCTCCTCCAGGAGCTGGCCACCACCCTTCAGCCGAAGCGAGAACAGCAAGCGCGCGAGCTCTATGAGGCTGGTGCAATGGTGGGTGGAATGATGAGTCGTCAGCATGGCGAGGGCATGGCGCAGTTCGTGATGCGTCGGAGAGCCTGGTATCGGGCCCTGCTCGACTCATCGAGCGACATGAAACTCCCGGAAGTGGTCTTGGCCGAGCAACTCCTACAGAACGCCAGGATCACTGATGATCAACGACTCATGGTTCGCACTGCCCTCCAAGGGAAGCTAATTTTCGACTCGGTGGCCCAAGAGTTGGTGAACCAACATCCTCGACTACATGAACGCGAACGTTTTCCTTACAAAGGAAAGAAAGGTTTTGGAAAGCACCACGGACGACCGAAGGGATACTTCCACGCCTCGCACGCCTACTGGACGGAGCAGAACGACCAGGACTACTTCTACGATGACGAGTACGCAATGGGCTACCTGGCCGAAGAGTATGCGGAGGACGGCTACGTGGAGGAGAACTACATGGCCGACTACGAAGAGCCGGACGAGTTGGACTTCCAAGCGGACGCCCTGGCTTACATGGCAGAGCAAGGGCTGAGCCTGGAGGACTACGACTCTGCTGAGTATGCGGCCGAGATGATCCAGATTGATGCCGAAGGGTACTTTGCTGGAAAAGGCGGAAAGGCGAAAGGGCTTCCTCGTCTACGAGACCATCGCTTTGAGCTCTCTGGCCACCTCAGGCTGGAAGAGAAGAGACAACGCCTTCAGGAGCTGAAGAATCGGACGACCTGCCGACGCTGTGGGGCGACTGGACACTGGAGCTCAGACAGTGTCTGTCCTAAGAACCGCGGCAAGAGCAAGAGCAAAGGAAAGTTCACCGGATCTGCCCCTACGGCACCCTCATCCTCTTCGACTTCTACCACCACGACAACCCCGAAGGGATCTGGGCGAAATAAGGGGAGCGGCAAGCGGCCGGTCTACTTTGCCATCGCTGAGGACGTTCAACCAGAGCCTGCCGCAATGCTCGCTTTACGACGTGAACCTGGCCGAGACAACCAACCTATCGGTCAACTTCCTCTTCAGCATCATGGTCACGGTGGACAAGCTGTTTCTCAGGGATGGCTACTTGGACCACCGCCTGTACCTCATCGACATCATGCAGAACAGGGACATGGACAAGAGGAAGCAACATCCCAGCCGTCTACGTCGCAATGGAGCATTGTCCAGGCTGAGCAGAGACCTCTGTGGCTGGATGGAAGTCCGGTTGGAGGCGACGATGATGCCGATGTCGAGATGGATCGACTTCTACGTGAACATGAGCGTGAACATGGGCGGCAAGCGCGAGATGAGAGCTCACGAGTGCAGGAACCTCCAATGCCCCAGACATCACCTTCGACGTCTGCTGCACCACAACCATCTGTTGCCCCGACGACTGCACGCCCTTCCTGTGCCCACACAGAGACGACTTCCGTCGGCTCGAACCAGTATCAGCGTGTCGTGCGTTGCAAGCGATGTGGCTTGGTGTTGTCCCGCACGAAGAAGGATGTCGGACAGGGAGAGACCACTACTACGACTACAGCAGCCGCGACACAGCCACGATGTTCCCATCACAACATTTCGTGGCGTGGATCCAATGGGAGCCGCTGGAAAAGCACTTGTCTGGATTGCGGACACCAAGAATCCGGAGATCGCGAGACACCAGCTGGACATGGGACAGAACCTCATCGTGATTCGCAGACAGTGGACGAGGAGGAGAGCTACTACCTCGACAGAGAGACCGCGCTCCAGATCCTTCAGGACTTCCACAATGTTGCGTCTGCTAGGACTTGAAGAAGGGCAACAGGTTCCGAGTAGCAGCTTTATGCGAGCTCTTCGACATGTCATTGCACTACGTGCATGCTGGAGCGACCGAGATGCATCCTCTGCAACGGCGAGCACGATGGTGGCACAGGCCGCTGCCTCGACTACGACCACGCCGCAACATGATCGCCGGGGACGTATTGCCATTGAAGGCGCCAAGGTCATCCCCTGCGGTAAGTACAAGGGCAAGACTCGAGAGTGCGCCTATCAGGATGCCGGGTATCGCCGCTGGGTGCTTGACAAGATCACCCCAGAATCCCCTCCTGACATGAATGCCCTACGTGCTTACTTTGAAGAGCGCTTGGACGCTGATCCCGGCCTGTTTCCTCAAGCGTACATGGTCCTTTCGCAGGAACCTACTGGAGGAGAAGGAGACCTCATCGCCATTTTGGATACAGGATGCTCGCAGTCCTGTCACGGTGAGCTGTGGCTGCAACGATATGTGCAAGCCGCCGGCCAATGCTTGCCAGCACTCGAGACCGATGTGGGCCCTTCCTTCCATGGCATTGGAGGGGCAGTGCAAACGGCCGGCGTGCGAACAATTCCGTTGGTGCTGGAGATGATCAATGGACAGTATGCCCAAGGCACCTTGCGCTCAGCAGAACTCCGAGGAAGTCATGCGCCACTGCTGCTCGTCTCCTCCAGTGCGGGATTCTCGGCCAGAAGTCCAAGATGAGCAGGTAGGAGGCGAAGTCCAAACAGTCCGTCCTTCATGACCAATTGAAGATCGCACCCAAGAGTTTGACTGTGGGCTGTCTCGGCACAGACATCCAAGACAAGACCAAGATGTCGTTGGGCTGCCAGTGAGAGCGTAGAGAACATCACTAAGAATGAGACCGAGTTCCTCGCGACGGATGTGAAGATGGACGAAAGACCGCGCGATGATGCATTGCATCATCCTACAGACGATGCACCGCATCGACCACGCGATGATGCATTGCATCATCCTACCGACGATGCACTGCATCCTCCTACGATGAGCTGCGATGAGAGGGAGCCTGATGAGGATGAGTCAGCCGCTGTTGGGTACATGGCGTATGACCACATGAAGGGACGGACCATGACGCGATCACAGGGGAACTCCTGGAAGAAGCACGTGCATGACATGCACAACTCTGACCAGTGCCTGTGGAGTCAGATTTCCACTCAGAGGAGAAGACAGTCGCTGTTGCCACGCGGATGTCGTACCTTCCTCTTGGAGATCTTTGCGGGAGCGGCCTTGCTGAGTGATATCTGCGCACGTGAATATGGTCACCCTATCAGTGCTCCTGTGGACCTCAATGTCGGCATCGACTTGCTCACACCGGAAGGGCGAGCGCACGTGGACTCCGTGATCGAGAGAGACGACCCCTATGCCATTAGCCTTGCGCCACTTTGCTCTCCTTGGTGTGCTTACTCGAAGCTCAACATATCCAAAGGGGGACGAACCTGCAAGCGCATCCAAGATGAACGCAAGCGATGGCGACCAGTTCTCTCGTGGCTCGCGAAGATGGTCAAGCAACGTCTAAGCCGCGGTCGCCAGGTTCTGGTTGAGAATCCCTGGGGAAGTGCTATGTGGGATGAGTGGGACTTTCAGGACTTGATCGTCAATGACCACCACGATGCTCTCACTGGAGAACTACTGGAAGCCACAAAATGTGATCAATGCATGCAAGGACTACGTTCCACGACTTCTGGACTTCCCCACATGAAGCCCACTTGCTTCCTCAGTGCCTCCACAACCTTGAAGCACACCCTGAATGTACGCTGCGACGGTCAACATGAACATGAGCAACTCACCTCAGGGAAGGCTTGCAAGGAAGCGCAACAATGGCCAAGAAAACTGTGCCACACTATCCTTGATGGATGGTGCAAGGACTTGGACAACACGCTGTGTCGGTCTGCGTTCCCTGCAGAAGCGGCACGGGAAGATGCCGACCAAGCCGAGTTTGTGATTGACGATGATGAGGATGGCATGCACCGGACGTTGGACCACATCTACGGCCCTGAAGATGAGGCGGCGATCACCGCTGGACCACTAGGACGATCTGAAGCTGCTGAAGTTGCTGCGCGAGAAGGAGAAGCAATTCATGAGGAAACAGAAAGCTTGGAGTCCGAGTCCATGCGGGAGAGAAGAAAGAAGTGGAGGGAGCTTCCCTACGCGATGCGTGTCGCTTTGAGGAGGCTCCATGGCATGACTGGACACGCATCTCCGGCATCTATGCAACGACTTCTTCGTACTGCTGGTGCGGATGCCGCCGCGATCCGCGCAATGCAGTACTTTCAGTGTCCTGTTTGCGACAGTCTGAAAAGGCCTATGCAAAGACCCGCCACCAAGGTGCCTGGACCTTACGTCTTCAACGTGGAGGTAAGCGTGGATGTCTTTGTGATCCGCGATGCGGAGGGGAACAAATTCTTGATCCTTTCCATTGTTGACCTCGGCACGCTCTTTCACGTTGGCGTCGTGGTTGGAACTGGAGCTGGAAGCCCATCCTCTTCAAATTGCGCAAAGGCTTTTGACACCGCCTGGATGTCCTGGGCAGGCGCTCCTGACCGGGTTGTTCTGGACAGGGGGACGCACAACCGCGGGGTCTTCCAGGAGATGCTGAGATCCCGAGGAGTGGAACTTCGATATACCGGCCTGGAGGCCGGCCATCATCTAGGACGTGGAGAACGGCAAGGTGGGCTGATGAAGTCGATGATGAAACACATCATTCATGAACGGCAACTCCGAGGACGACAGTCTATTGAGTTCGTGGTGTCAGAAACGGCTGAGGTCAAGAACTCCAGACTGCATGTTGGAGGTTTTGCTCCGGCTCAATGGGTGCTTGGACGACTACCAAAGGACTTGGACAGCCTCACAACCCTCGGAGCAGAACATCGGCTTGGAACTCACCAGGAGATCTTGGATGGGACTTCGTCGTTTGCACACCGTATGGAGATCCGGATGGCAGCGAAGCAAGCATTTACGTTCCACGATTCGGCTCAACGTCTTCGCGCATCTATGCTTCGAAAGGCCACGCCCACACGTGGACCCTTCGTGACTGGAGACCTCGTCTGCTTCCACCGCAAGCAAGGAGCAAGAGTTGGACAGCGCTGGTTTGGGCCTGCTCGTGTAGTCGGTCAAGAAGGGCGACCCAAGCTATGGGTGATCCATGGAGGAATACCCATGACCGTGGCCGTGGAAGCATGTCGACACGCTAGTGGACCTGAGATACTGGCGAAGCGGGAGTTGGAACTGCGCCCAAGCAGGAAGAGACGCCGTGAAGTTATCGAAGATGATGACGAGACCTATGAGTACCCTTTTGGCGATGACTTGGCCGGTGTCCCAGGACGTCGTGAAGATGGAGAAGGCCTTGGAGAAGATGAACAAATGCGCTATTTTGACACCGCGGACATTGCCGACGGGGGACTCTCGCCCAGTCCCTATTCGCCATCACCTGCAGGAGAAGCTGCCGCAGGACCTATTCCTTCTCCGCTATCACCAGCTGACGAAGGACCTGGCGTTGCGGACCTGCCACCGATCCCTGAGGACTTACTTGAGACCGATGAGGGAGAGAGGACGCCTACGCCCACAGTTGGTTCGACCTTCGAGCCTGAACAAGAACAAATTCCTGTGAGCAGACAAGGAACAAGTGAAGTGATGTCCCCTACACCGCTTCCACCAGGACTTCACGGAAATCTCAGAGCAGCTCTTCATAGGTCGCCAGATCTGCTCGATGGACATCGTGCTGCTGAACCACGTAATGAGCCATCGACAACTCGCAGAGATCGCTCGAGATCCCCACCTACACGGTCATCCTCTGCGGTGATCCCGAACCAAAGCACGTTGGTTGAGCTTCCTCGAGCCCCTGGGCAAGATCGGGCGTTTCTGGCGTTCCTTGCTCGCCGGAAGACCGCCATGGCACGAAGCAAAGAATACAGTTTGGACAAAATGGAGGCCGAAGAGCGTGTGAAAATGGAAGCTGCTCAAGAGAAGGAATGGGGCAACTGGCGAAACTTTGAGGCTGTCAAGGTGCTGGATCCGACGAAGGCTGCAGAGTTTCTTCGAGAACATCCTGGAACACAGATTGTCCCGACCAGATGGGTGCTGACAAACAAGGCTCAGCCCTGGGAAGATGCCCGCTACAAGGCTCGCATTGTGGTGCGGGGTGACCTGGAGCGGGGCGCTGCTGAGACTCGTACAGATTCACCGACGGCATCCTCGACAATGGTCAACATGTTGCTAGCTTATGCGGCCAGCAACAAGCTTCCTTTGAGAGGTGGAGATATCACCGCTTCCTTCTTGCAAGGTGAGAAGATATCACGGAAGCTCATCCTGAAACCACCTCCTGGCGGCCTACCAGGAGTGGAAGATGGCAGTCTACTATTGGCTGAGAAGCCAGTCTACGGAACGCGTGACGCCCCTCGAGGTTTCTGGAAACGCTTGCACTCCGTGATCCTCTCGAAGGGCCTAAGGAAGATCCCTGGCGAGCACTCCGCGTATGTGCTCAATGACTCGAACAATAACATCATCGGGATGCTCATCTGCCACGTCGATGACCTCCTATGGGCCGGAGGAGAACGTATGGATGAGGTGATGAACCAGATACAGTTGGCCTTCGAGTTCGGGTCATTGGAACTCGACAACAGCTTCGTCTACTGTGGACGCAACATTGAGCAGAGCACTGAAGGCATCAAGGTGACCTGCCCTAACACTGCAGCAAAGGTGAGGCCCATTGTGCTAACCAGAGAAAGACGTCGTGAACGTGATGCCGCAGCCACCGACAACGAGAAGGGGCAACTCAGGAGTGTCTTGGGGAGTCTAGGCTGGGTGACACGTGTGTGTCGTCCAGATATTGGCTACCAGGTCAACCATCTCCAGAGCATCCAAAAGAATGCCGTCGTGAGCGACCTGATTGCCTGCAACAACCTTCTGAACTACGTCAAGGAGACTCCTCAGCATGGCCTCTTCTACCGCTACAATGCGGTTGACTTCAATGAGGCCGCCATCCTCTCCATCACCGACGCTTCCTATGGTGCAGACTATGATGTGGACGAGCACTATGGTGTGCCTCTCGGGAATCGTTCCCAGTCCGGAAGGATCCTAGCTCTTGGAAACAATGACTTCGCTTCGACCGGAACAGGCGACATCTACATGATCGAATGGCACAGCAATGTGCTGAAGAGAGTGTGCCGCAGCACACTACAGGCTGAAACCCTTAGCCTCGTTCAGGGCTATGAGGAAGCTGAACATGTTCGGGTGCTGATGCATGGGCTCTTCCACGAGAAGACGGGCTCTACCAACGACTTCATGATCGGCGCGATGGATGGACGACGCTTGGAGATGTTCACCGATTGCAGAAGCTTAGAAAGTCACCTGAAGCAGCCGGGACTTTCCACGGTTGCCGACAAGCGCCTGGCTATTGACCTCAGTGCCATGCGCCAGCTGGTGTGGCGAGACTCCGGAGAGCTAGTTGGAGATCCTGTTTACCAAGATGCTCCTCCGCAAGCTTCCACAACCCGCGTGAGCTGGATAGAGACCAAGACGATGGTTGCCGACAGTCTGACCAAGCACATGAAGTGTGAGCAGCTCTTGGCCTTGATGCACGAAGGCAAGGTCACTTTCGACATGAACAAAGAACATTCGAAGAAGGCATCAATGAAGCAAGACAAGCAAGATCGTCAAGCATCAATGAGTGGCTGACGTAGAGATGT